AGGAAGGAAGGAAGGAAGGAAGGAAGGAAGGTAAGAAGGAAGGAAGGAAGGAAGGAAGGAAGAAAGGAAGGAAGGAGTGAAGGAAGAAAGGAGTGAAGGAGTGAGTGAGTGCGTGAGTGAGTGAGTGAGTGCGTGCGCGAGTGAGTGAGTGAGTGAGTGAGTGAATGAATGAATGAATGAATGACCGAATAAATCAACGAGTAAACAGAAGAGGTAGATACACGCAAGCCCGCACACACACGCAGACGCGCACACTTTGAATGGTTCTCGGCAGGTCGTTTATTCCTTCAGTCGGTAAAGACAACGATTCTTTCATGACGTCAATTCCAACTGCACAGAAAGCAAACAGTACCATTATTAAAATAAATTTCACACCAATTAAGATTTCACTGTTTAAGATAAAGTAAAGAGATATAAAGGGGTAAAGAGGCTTAAGTAAAGGAAGGAAGGAATTAGACAAGACCACTTTCACTACAGACCCTCTGATTTCACTCTAGATCGTTTTTGAAGAGTGTTTGAATAGTGCTGATTCAATATCACTTTACTTACTGATCTATCCACGTCTCTCCACATCAAAATACGAATTAAAAACAACTAATATAATGGAATAATAATGTAGTGTTTCGAAAGTGCCACTTAGGAAGGTTTTTTTTGACTAGCTCGCTTTGAGGTCAATCTTCTGTATTTTTGTGGTAGGATGGCCATCATTTCATTCGTCCATTTTGATTAATTACGCCTTACTAATTTGCCATAGCTTCGTAATTCAGGCAAATTCGATATAAAAAATTTCCATTCTAGAACAACGTCCTAGGTTTATATTTTTACTCGTTGGTGGTGATTATTCTTTTAAATAGTCATTACTTTTTAAGTCTTTTCATGTTATTTTTAAAGTAAATTTTCTCTCTTTCCATTCTTGTTTAAATTCAGAACTGACGCCTCGCTTTGCCGGAGTCTTCAAAAACCATCAAGACTTATAGACGCACTTATCTGTTTTCACAGACGACTTCTTCAGTACAGTACAGCATAACGAGCTGGTAAGTACTACACAGTCGTATTTTGAAAAATATATAACTCAAAAAATATAAAAACAGGTATAAAGTGAAAATAAAATGGAAAAATTCTTATTGATTGATAACTCTGCAGGACTGATGGAATATATATTTTTTCCAGTTAAACTTTGTATTATTTTTCTCGCGATTAAATAATTAGTTTTCTAGATTCACTACCGAGTGTCGACTGGATGTAACAAATTCTTTTTCAATTCCATGTAACTACATGCCGAAATTTTGATACAAAATTTTCAAGTTTATAAGCTGTCTTACAAAAGTGAAATTTTTAAGATCTTGTAAAAAGGAGAGACTGAGATGAAATAAAGAAGGCTGTTAAATATTATCAATACTATAGGAGGATTATATCAAGATTTGTGAAGTGTGCCAAAAAGGATGGTAGTTCTTCAGTGGTGTCAAAAATGCTTTAAAAATCTGTAAAATTGAATTCATATATGACTTTATTTCGTATCTATACACTTGTTATACTAAAATTCTTTTCGGGACCAATTGAAAAATCAACGTCGATCAACGATTCCCAAGAAAAATATAGGATAAGAAAGATAAAGCAGTCGAGAAAATACTCATGCCAATTGGAAACATTATTCTATAGGTTTTCGTTCTTATTTTTCCAGACTCTTATGTACCATATGGCTTTTCCTAATTCATTATTAATGAAATAATATTAGCCAGTACTACTACGGGCTTACCAAAAGGATGTTCAGAAAATTTTTATAAGTATAAGATCTTCTAATCCAAGCAAACCTAAGAAAGATAGTCTGGTATGGTCATAAATTGTTTTAAATGATTTATTTCAGGGATAAGTTAAGAATGCATTCAGTATTGTTAGTTTGAGATGATAGTATTCAATAAGTAATGTAGGGAAGCGATTCGACTTCTCATTAACTTCATTGGAGTATTTTTAACAAGTTTCTTCATGTTCGCGGTGAGGTTTTAATAGTTTTTTGCACTGTTGAGAGCAATAACCATTAGATAAAAAACAGCAGGGCATGTAAGAAAAATTAATTTGAATTCCAATAGGTTAATCGATTGATTAAAATATCCATACCCCTCCCCCCTTTGATTTTTTGTTGCCAGGTGTATGGGATCGTAGGACGAAGGAAGAATGTTGGTTAGCCATCATAGATTACCAACATTTTCAGCATTTTTTTATTTGTTTTAGAATATCGAAATGTATAGAGACGTCTAGTCTGGAAAGTTTATCGCTACAAGAGTTCTTGATATAAAGTAATGAAATATTCAAAATCACAAATTTGGTTTATAAAAGACTACTTTAATGCGGTTGAAGTGTGAAAAAATCGCGTCTGAGAGCACGGAATGTATGAATCCATTAAAAATGACATTGATAGTCTTCAAGACTTAGGTCAATACGGCACGCTACGGTACAGTATGATGCCGTAACATTGAAATGCCTTCCGATATTAAATAGCAGTGAAATGGCTTCCGATACTGAATAGCAGCGAAATGGCTTACGATACTGAATAGCAGTGAAATGGCTTCCGATACTGAATAG